TTCTATTTGCCGTCGAGACATATATTATCAAGAGTACCATGATAGAATACGTTCATCTATCATGGTTTCCATCATGGTACTCTTGATATTATTAATGTGCGCAAAAAATGTACGGAACGATAATTTCAAACATTGTTTGCATAATCTCTATATGATAGTAACCTGGAGAAAGCCGACAAAACCACCAAGGAGCAACTGAAAGAACGCTGCAACAAGAAATCAGTCTGTAGCCTAAAACCCAGCAACGACCTGTGGGGCAGCGATCCCTGCCCGGGCACAGCTAAACTTCTCCGCATCGAATACGAATGCAGTGAGTAATCTGCAAAATTCTATGAGCGAGACTTTCTCTTCGACACAGCGAGTGTTGATGTTTTTTACTTTCGATGACCTTATTTTTTTATTTGCTTGCTTACGAGCAATGTAATAGTCATCGTGTAGACGTCAATATCATAGATCTCAATAGAGATAATAAACTAACTAACGAACTTACTAAATCTATCAATACATAAATTGATTACACATAAAATACAAACAGGCTCGCGCACGCACGCACACACACATAGACACACACGCACGCACACAAACACACGCACGCACACACGCACGCACACACGCACGCACGCACGCACGCACACACGCACGCACGCACGCACGCACACACACACACTAACTAACAAACAAACACATACACACATACATACACTCACATGCGCGCGGATATATATATACAAACTAATCTTTTATAATGAATTTATGCATTCATTTTTTATTTTTTAGAATAATTAGTCAGCCTCTAACCAAGTGACGTCATCTTGGACTTCCGGACATCTTTGCCAGTTCAAGAACCAAGACGGAGTTCATCTCAATATGAAGTTATCAATTACTTTCGATTTTTCATATTTCATATCTCGATTAAATTGAAACGGCGATGCCTTTCGGAAAGACGTTTGTTTATAACTCACGTACGGTGAATTTCTCTTATATTTGTAATATCAGTGAATTAAAATATAAAAGGTTTAGGAAAATTGGCATTTTGCTACTGTGCGCATTCTGTTCACGACAAAATCTCTGCAAATGTTTGAAGAACTGCATATCCACCAGCACACATGCGATTAACACACATGCGCCCGCACAGTGTCACACCTAACTGAATTACATATTCCAATAATGTCACACTGTCTCACTACCACACTTCAGTAATGCTAAAACGTTTACCTTGTCTTCCCTAATTTACCTATACTGTATCAACAAACGTATGTTTGCCCAGTATCTGCCAAAGGAAACGTAATATTTTCCCGAAGTTATATACACTAAATGTAGAGATCATCAACTCCTTATAAATCTCTGTCCCGATTTCTCAATTTAAGAATCATGACAAGACGCCCGAGCTGTCATCCTGATTACAGTACTCGTCTTCACCCCAGAGATGCACACCTTTATAGGCACAGCCGCATATATTAATAGTGTTCGATGGCACACATTGGCGCATACTTGGTTTATATCGGGATGGGGGAGATATGACGCTGTTGAACTAGGTAGCTGTGTGGATCAATTTACATGGATGGCATATAAAGTTGTTGTTAGACAGAAACACCAGCACCACCATATTTACATTTATATATGGTCATACATATGGGTCGGAGAATATCAGTGAGTAGCAGCACTTGCCGGTTGCAATCTGTTCGTACACTGCGATGACTCGTATGGTTAATATCGAGTTCTCTGCACAGTGTGCAGGAGCGTCTATTATTTGCGTTGTTTAAGTTCTGAATGTAGAAGCACAGTCGTAGTTAGTGAATCCAGGTGAGAGATAAGATTGCTGGACTAGTCTTTGTCGTCTCTCCAGACCGTACGTCTGGAAGAGAACTCTCTGTCATTTCTCTTCTTTCTTCTCCCCTCTCTTTGTCTCACTCTCTCCCCTCTCCCTTTCTCCATAACATAGCACTTACACTAACACTAACCATAATCTTAACCCCAAACTTTGCCTCATGCTCAACCCTACACCTAGCCCAACTCCATAATATATTCCCATTGCTCCAGAGTTAACCTAAACCTAAGTCTTATCATATTATATGCATATATATCATCACCAGAAGACAGACGACTAAGCAAAAAATACCAACCTATAATGTCTTGGCATGACCACGGCTCGTTGTCCAAAACAACCCCACGAAATACAATGCAATACCCACGCACCCCGTCGTGCAAACAACACTACAGGTTATGCGCGTTTGTAAATATACGATAAGTCTCCTTATTTGGCTCTCATACCACCCAATTCCTCCTCCGTAGTCTCCTTTCTCTAGTATTAACTTTAACCCTAAGCATTAAACCTAATATCACTCTAATCCTTATCCTAACATTAAACAAACCTAACACTAGCTATAACCCTTACCCACACCCTATCGCTATCCGTAATCATAATCCTAACGTTAACCATGACCCTAATCCTAACACTGATCCTAAACCCTATTCAACCCTTACCCTTAAACTAACCCTAGCTATAAAAGATATGTATAGATATAATTTATGTGTATATAATGTTATCAATTTATAATTATTAATATCATGCGCGAATGAAAAAATTGATATAACGAATACATTCACACACACACACACACACACACACACACACACACACACACACACATAATTATATATATTATATATATATATATATTTATCAACACAATACACATAACAAAGACACGAAATACGAATAAACCGGCATGAGTTACAAGGTTAATGTGACCTACATCTATATCTAGAACCAAATGTAATTAAATCGAACATGTCAGCTGTCCCAAGTCGTCATAATAACGCGAGTCACATAATTTGCCGAATAATCAAGATTTCGATGCTGGTTCATTACTAAATAATACAGATACATGTTACGTGCGGGTAAGTAATTGTGAATCCTAGCACATGTATATATTGAGGGAAGCGCATACTTTTAGTAGTCGAATTTTCGGATTGACAACACCTGAATCTCACTCTGCTGAGTAAGTAGTAAGTACTATAGAATATGTTATATTATTTAAATTTAATTTTGAAAGGCAAATAGTATTAAAATACAATCAGGTGTTTTTTTCTCTATAGTTTACATCTGCCACACTTGTCTTACGTATATATGTGAGGATGTAGCGCTTTTGATCGCTTGCTAGAAGTGAATGTGTCTGTGCGGACGTACGAGTGTGTATTGTCTGCGTGCGCGCGCGTGTGT